AGACTTCGTCTCTCATACTTCAGACATGTTATCAGGAGGGAACAGTCCCCTGGGAGAAGAACATCATGCTTGCTAACATGGAGGGTCAATCTTTTCAAAGGACTCCTGGTAGCACTGTGGGTTAGGCATTGGACTGCTAACCACAAGGTCAAGCCCACCAGCCACTCTGCTCCTGAAAATACTTCATCTCAGAAATCCTATATAGGGTTTCTATGATTTGAAATTGACTTGATGTCAGTAAGTTTGGTTTGGGTTTGGGTTTTATTGCCTTTCCAAGTGCATAGGACATTTCAGTGTTTTATACATAAAATAGCAATTGTTGTTAGTAAGTGCCTTCGAGTTAGATCCAACTCATAGATGCATCAAACCCTGTTTAGGATTTCCAAGGATCAACTGATGGATTTGAACCTCTGACCTTAGGGTTGATAGTGCTTATCCTACAGCACCACGCCAGGACTCCTAAATACCAATGTTGCTGTTGTTGTTAAGTACATCGAGTCAGTTTGACCCATAGTGACCCTGTATAGGGTTTCCAAGGCTGTAAATCTTATGGGAGCAGAAAGCCTCATCTTTTTCCCATGGAGCAGCTTGTGGGCTCAAACCACCAATCTTACAGTTCTGGGTCCCCTGCTTATCCTACAGAGCCACCATGCTCCCCAAATAGCAATGTATACACTTTTTAAAAGATGTACACATATTGGAACAGTGTGCTTGCCTCATGTGTTCCCACTGGGTATCCTGAATGCATCCACTGTGACGCACTGACAACTTATCCTTTCTCTTTATTGGCCTGGGATCATAAATACAGTTGTGGCCAGTTTGTAAATGCTCTTCATCATGATAAAATAAGCAAATCTAGGAATTACCAAAACATGACTGAGGGTACATTCTTGATACATTATTATTGTTACTGACTATATGGCAGAATCCCATTACTTACTTGGCCTTAAACAACCTCTGCCTTTTTGTACGCTAGGGTTCAATTCCAACTCAGCCTCCAGTTTCTAAGGAGAGAGAATAAAACCTGGGATGACCTGACTAGGCTGCCCCCAAAGAATGCTTTCCAGCACCTGCACCATCCACAAGACCTGCCCCCTTTGGTGTGCAATCCAGTCTTTTCTACAGTGAGAAAGAGGAGCTGTATCACTTCAAGAAAGCAAATTATATGGTCACTGGGGAAACTGTCTGCCCCTATAGAGATTGAGGGAGGGGGGGTCATCTATCTGAAAACTGATTGTTGAAGAGAAATTTAAACTGATTAGAATTTTTGTAGCACTTGGATATTTGTGAACAATACACTGAATCTCCTCCTTTTGAGTATGGGCCTACTCGCCTATATAATGAGTGACCTGAACCAAGTGTTGGCTCCTGAAACTAATCCACTTCAAAATACCTAGACACATTATCTCATTTAAGCTCCACATTCAACCAGTGAGATGTTTATCCAGCACAGGACATAGTTGAAAAGAATTAGACTGCTTCTTAGTTATTCTTTTTACATTCAGGCAAAAATCTACTCAATACAGAAGAATTTATTTACTCTTAAGTGACCAGATTTAGTGCCTGTTTTAATCCAAGTTGCAGAGAGACTGATCCAAACTACAATTTTCAGCAAACAAAAGGAAATGTGACTTATCTCTTTTATCATGAAATCAAATATATGTTTGAAATCCACTAAGAGGATTGTGAGGCTTTTTCTGAACATTGAGCTGCTATTTTCAAATGCATCCCTGAATTTGAAAGAAACCCTAAGATTTAAAATCCCCTTGTGTGGCCTTTTCATTCTGTCCCCAAATGACTTCTACTCAATTGAGTCCGGAGAAGTTGCCATTAACCAGTCTTCCCAAACCCTGACAAAACTATCCAAATGTTTGGTTAAGCCCAAGCTAAAGAGATCAAAAGATTGTACTAATTTGGGGGCATTATGGTTCCTGTTAAAAAACAAAACAAAACAAAACACTGTTGCCATCCAGTCAGTTCTGCTCATGGTGACCCCATGTGTGTCAGAGTAGAACTATGACCCATAGAGTTTCCAATGACTGATCATCTGATGACCACAACAGTGGACTCAAACGTACCAACAATTGGCACCAGGCAACAACTGGTTCTATTTTGTATACAGGTCTTCGTGAGTCGGAGCCAACAGAAGGCCAATGAACAGCAGCAATAAATGATTTCTACTGCTTTGCTTTGATCTCAAAAAAAATTTCTTTTCTTCCCAATTTCAGGTAATGGGGAAAGTGCCAACCATTTCCATTAATAAGACAGAAGGTTGCCATATATACCTTAGTGAAGATGCACTCGACTGTGAGATTGTGAGTGCCACATCGTCAGAAATGAATATACTTATCCCTCAGGATGGTGACTATGTAAGTATATTTGAAATGACTATGAAGAGCTGTTTCTGGGTCATCATGATCAACCTCAGAGAAGGATGAATCAATGACCAATAAGAGCTGTATTGGTAGAATGGCTCCAGGCAGGGCAGGAATTGAGAGAGCTGACTTCTCCCCTGATAGTTATCGACTGATTCCACTGAGTCCTGGCTCCCAAGGCAGCCTCAATATGAATTACACTAACGAGCTCACTTTTCTCAAGAAATACACAGTGCATCTGAGGTCACATTATTTAGGACGCATGGTTTTCCTTCACTATGCTGCTTGTGGAGAGCCCTGATAGTGCAGTGGCTAAGCACTCAGCTGCTAATTGACAGAGCAAACATTCGATCCTACCTGTTTAGCCCCATGAGCGGAAGATGTGGCAGTCTGCTTCCGTAAAGGGTTACAGCCTAGGAAACCCTATCTGTCCTATAGTGTTTTAGTGGGTTGGAATCCACTCAAGGACAATGGTTTGGTTTTTGGTTGTTATACAGCTTGTGATGTCGGCCAACATGGAGGGGGATTATAATAGACCGATTTGTAGGTGCAAACCCACCAGCTGCTCCTCAGAAACCCTATATAGGGTCACTGTGAGTCAGAACCAACTCAACGGCACTTACCAACTTAAGTTGTTGCTGTTGTTAAGTGTCGTCGAGTCAATTCCAACCCATAGCGACCCTATGTAGGGTATCCAAGGAGCAGCTGGTGAGCTTGAACTGACAACATTGCAGTTCAAACTGACTTTGCAGTCTGACGCATTAGCCCACAGCACCACACCTCAATCTTAACATTAGATTCATCTGGGAAGCTTGATGAAAATGCCAACTCTCAACCCTGCACCTACAGGTTGGATTCCAGAAGCTTTTATTGACACCCCAGGTGCTTCTAATGCCAGCAGTCCACCAACAGCCCTCTTAGAAACACTAACCGACTTGTTTCTGCCACCATTAATTTTCTTGGCCTCCTTTCACAAACAAAATAACTTCTACAGAACGTACGCAGATGTTCTCACAAATAAAAAAGGAAATATAAAAGCATTTTCTTGATCACGTAGCAGGATAAAACTGGTGGTGACCCCCCCCCCACTTATGTACTGTACTTAGAATAGGTAAATACATAAAGACAAAGGTGGTTCCCAAGGAGTGGGGACGGGAAAATGGGGAGTTATTACTGAAGGGGCACGGAGTTTCTGCAAAAGGCATTGAGAATGATGCGGCGAGATGTAGCAGCTGGGGACTCTGGACTCGGACGGAGAGAGGCTGTGTGCTGGCAGCCAGAGGGCAGGCTTATGGGGTGTACCCTTTGGTTGTTGGATGATGCATGGAGGGGATTGTAATCATTGCAATGAAATGAAATACAATAGGATGAATGTAAAGCTGGTGTTCTCCCATGTAAACTATCACATAATTCACAATAAAAACTTAAAAAAAAGGCAATGAGAACATTTGGAAATAGTGGTGATGGCTATACAACAAACTTGGTGAATGTCATTAATGTCATTGAATTGTCCACTTAAACTGGGTTAAATTGTAAATGCTTTGTTATATATATTTTACCACAATAATTTTTTTTTTTGGCACAGGACTGGGCAGTGTTCGTTCTGTTGAACATAGGATCGCTGAGTCAGAACCTACTCAATGGCACCTAATGACAACAACAGTAATTTTTAGAAAAAGACAATAAGCAAGCAAAACACAACAGCTTCAGGGTCATTGTTAAGGGCCGTGAAGCAGGTCCCGACTCGTAATGACCCCGGATAGGGTTTTCAACCACCACTAATCTGTCAGTTTATTGTACTGTGGTGGTTTGTGAGTTGCTGTGATTCTGAAAGCTATGCCAACAGTATTTTAAATACCAGCAGGGTCACCCATGGTGGACAGGTTTCAGATGAGCTTCCAGATGAAGACATACTAGGAAGAAGGAGTGAGGAACTACTTCTGAATATTTAGTCACTGAAAACCTTATGAATAGCAGAGAAACACTGTCAGATTATAGTGCCGGAAAATGAGCCCCTCAAGTTGGAAGGTACTCAAAATGCAACTGGGGAAGAGCTGTCTCCTCAAAGTAGAGTTGACCGTGATGATGCAAATGGAGTAAAGCCCATGGGAGTAAAGCCCGCAGAACCTTCATTTGCTGATGGGGAACAACTTAAAATGAAGAGAAATAGCTGTAAACATCCACTGAAAATTAGAACATGGAATGTATGAAGTATGACTCTCAGAAAATTGGAAGTTGTCAAAAATGAAAAGGAACGCATAAGCATCGATATCTTAGGCATTAGTGAGCTGAAATGTACTGGTATTGGCCATTTTTAATCCGATGACTACATGGTTTACTATGCTGGGAATAACAAATTGAATAACAAATTGAATTGTCAAAAAGAACATATCCAGATCAGTCATGAGGTACAACGCTGTCTGTGATAGGATAATATCCATGCACCTACAGGAAGAACCAGTTAATACCACTATAATTCAAATTAACTCACCAACCATTAAAGCCAGTGAGGATGAAATAGAAGAATTTTACCATGTCTTCAATCTGAAATTGATCAAACATGCAATCAAGATGTACTGATCATTACTGGTGATTGGAATGCAAAGATTGGGAGCAAAGAGGAAG